TAAATTGTAACAAATGTACCAGTCTAGTGGGGAATGTTGATAATGAGGGAGACTATGCATGTGTGGGGGCAAGAGGATATGGAATATCTCTGTACTTCTTCTCAATTTTGCTGTGAATATGCAACTGCTCTAAAAATAAAATTTTAAGGGAGTTCCTTTTGTATTTCCTGATATGAGGTTGGATGAAAACATGCTATTTGATCATGAAGCAGTCATCTTGCAATGTGAGTGACAAGTCTGAGGATGATGAGCCACCATGCCAAGGAAAACAGAGCAGAAAGAATAGGGTAACAAATCTGGATACACCTGACATTGTGCAGCTGATAGCACAAGCCTGAATCAACATACCTCCAGGCTTCTTGCTATGTGAGATAAGGGTCCAAATCCTTAACCCATTATTAATCAATGTTGGGAGTATGAAAATTGTCAGAATCAAAATGGGATTACTTATGTTTAAAACCCTGAGAAACAGAGTCAGAGAAAGCCAGGAAGAAAGTGTTCTAATGCATAAATGCCTGATTACAAGAGCTATCATAAAAGAATGCAAAAACTATAACCTTGTACAAAAGCCATCACAGCCTTACACAGAAAAGTATTTCTATGAAGACATCTACCCAGCAACTGCCTGTCCAAACTTGGACTGGCATCACCCTTGTAATTGATCCTTGTGACCAAGGATAATTATCTCAAAACAATTATGTAATGTAATCCTCCTCATTTTTCCTTTAAAAACTTTTTTTTTTTTTTTTTTTTTTTTTTCTTTACCTCCTTGAATGCACACATAGTTTAAAGTGGCAGGTATGTTACCACTGAAGTGCCCATTCCTGAATAAATATCATTTTCTTTCAATGGGCCTCTCTCCATTATTTAGGTTGACATAAATGGTGTCAGAAGTGGGATCAAAGTGAGTGTACCTCAGAGAAATAAGAGGTCCCTGGAACTGACTGCAGTACTGACTGAGCCCTTTCTGCTCTCTGCTTCTGTCCATTTCCTCTTCTGTCTGGATGAATCTCCTCTCAGATTCTCAGACTCCCTCCCTTTGGTGAGTTCTTTCTGACTTTACATGTGATTTCATTTGGCCAAAAGGCTGCCTTAAGTATTTCGCATCCCTCTTGGGTCCATGAAAGGTGTGTTTGTTTGTTTGCTGGTTGGTTGGTTGGTTTGTTGGCAAGCACTTTCTGATATAAAGAAAAGTATCCTTCTGCATTGAGTACTCTGATGTCTACAGAATTTACATTCTGTCTTTGTGGCATGTCTTTTCTGGTGAGTTCACTTTTGGTTCTTTCTGCACATCAAGTTTAATATTTTATTTGGTATGCACACCTGGCTTAAAAATCTTGTGTGGCCAGATATGGAGGCTCAAACCTGTAATCCCAGCACTTTGGGAGGTCAAGGAGGGCGGATCACCTGAGGCCAGGAGTTCCAAATAAGCCTAGCCAATATAGTGAAACCTCACATTTACTTAAAAAGAAAAGAAAAGAAAAGAAAATTGTAAGCATTCTTATTTTAGTTTCATTTAGATTTGGTTATTACGCACATCTGCAAATAATTTGGCACCTTAACTTTTACCTCTCCTTTGTTTCTGAACATCTTCTGAGAGCAAAATTAAACATCCTAAGTACTGGTGCAAGAAGGCCATTTAAAAGTGTTGTGACTTCTGACACCATTTACGTCAACCTAAATAACGGAGAGAGGCCCATTGAAAGAAAATGATATTTATTCAGGAATGGGCACTTCAGTGGTAACATACCTGCCACTTTAAACTATGTGTGCATTCAAGGAGGTAAAGCAAAAAAAAAATGTGGTAAGCATCTATGTTTGTAGTCATATGTTACACAGCAATAGAAAAACTAATGCAGCAGCAAAGTCCTAATTTGGTGTAAAGGGATTATAAGCCCTTTTGGAAACAAAGGTAAAACTGTATTCTCTAATCAGCTTATAAGTAATAAAGCTGGCATTTTGATCTCTACCTGATTCCTCTATTTCACAATTAGTTCTGAATTACAGAGGAGAGGAAAGAATTTGTATTTATTCATGCCATAAAAAACTCCAATTGTCAGTCATTTTATTACTCTGCAACCAAAAGCATTTCTAAGTAATGCAACACCCCTCAGCAATTCTTTTAAATGAGGGTCAGACCTGGGATGTGTTGGAAGGGCCCAAACCTGGGTCACCTCAGGGTTCAGGCATCTAGAAGACCAACTTTATTGTATTTTATTTTATTTATTGATATAGGGTCTTGCTCTGTCACCCAGGCTGGAGTGCAGTGGCATGATCTCGACTCACTGCAACCTCCACCTCCTGGGTTCCAACAATTCTCATGCCTCCATCTCCTGAGTAGCTGGGATTATAGGCATGTACTACCATGCCCTGCTAATTTTTATATTTTTAGTACAGACAGGGTTTCACCATATTGGCCAGGCTGGTCTTGAACTCCTGACCTCAGGTTATCCACCTGCCTCAGCCTCCCAAAGTGCTAGGATTACAAGTGTGAGCCACCATGCCTAGTACAAGGCCAGCTTTAGATTTTATTTTTACTCCAAAATAAATCCTCTTTTCCCAAGAGCTGGGAGAAAACATAACAGATCAAGAGAAGGGCTTAATACTCATTGAGCAGATGAAATAAATAAATAAATAAACCTTCCCCCATGAGAATTAAAAATTCACAGCCCCAAGCTTTGTTAGTTTATACAATTTGCACTTCTCAAATAACCACCTAAACATAATTGGACTTTTAAATATAGTTTAAATCAATGGCAGAAAACTTTGAGATTTTATTCCAAAACTTTACATGCAGCAAGCAAACTGCTACAGGCTCAGTTGTTTGTATATTTAGGAAGTGTGCTAACATTCCCCCTGGAATTTGGTCACCTTTTCCAATAGCACCCTCCAAAACTCAGCAAATGCATTCATTGTGCACTGCCCATTCAATAATATGCAACTTTCTCGTTTTCTTAAAAGAATCCTGATCTTTGACAGTGCTGCAAGGAGCTGAGTGGACAATCAGCATAAAGATGAAATGTGAGGTTTCTAAGTCTCTGTCTCAGAATCTGCCGATGATCCATTTGACAGGCAACTTCAAGGGGAAGGAGAACCGTACACTCTATTTGTAGTCTAAATTCATTAGGGAAGACTAGGTCCCTACATTTAGCAGCAGATGTCCAAATGATTGCAACCTCTTCCGTCATTTTGAATATAGTAACTAGAATTTTTTCTGCTAAGGAGGATTTCAAAAACTTTTAGTCTAATCCTTTCTTCTACAAATAAGGAAACTGAGATCTAAAGAAGCTACATAAAAATAAAAATGCCAGATCAGTCATTTCCCCAACTGAATCCTGTTCTGAGTGTTCAATCCACCAGATTCTTTCTTCTCTAAGTCAGAGGGCCATGAGGCAGCAGCTAAGAGGGTGCCTTCAAGAAGTTCAAAACAGTTCTTAGAGACAGGGCTGCCATGTCTGGTTTAGGAAGACCTAAACATCTGAAAATCAGGGAAGCTGAGTACTGACGGTTTCCATGGCGACTGCTGAGGAGCCCAGGTGCATGCTCTAATGAGGCCACCAGCCAGCCAGCATTAAGGAGCAAAGGCTGTGGGACATTCCAGAAAAATTCATACGCCACAGAGCTCTCAGATGAAACCCGAAGGAGTGGCTAGCCTGCCTACGAGGGCTTCTCTTGGAGAGATACATGGTAGCTCTGGACTTTATATGTCTGCCCTGTGACAAGCTCTTTTCCACACATTATTTCATTTAATTATCACCAAAACCTGCCAAAGTAGATTCAAGTTTTATCCCCTTTTGTGGATGAATAAACTGAGGTGCTGACTGAGGGTCAGTGAGATTATAAATGGCTCCCCCAGCTCTGGTGCCTCATTCCTCCCCTCCTACTCTTTTTAAGAGGCTTCTGAAACTGCTTCTGAAACTGCTCATCTGAAAGCTCCCTTGCATTCTTCTAAAAAGAAGTATAAGCCATTATTGCAAAGACAGCCTTGAACTCAAAAGTCTGAGAGTTCTTACAGGGGAAAAAAAGCTCAGCGTTAGAGCTCCCAGCTGATCTACCTTTGCCTACCATTCCTAGATCCTAGAAAAGACCTCAAAATGTCATTCTTAAATATTAAGTCATCATAAGAAAGAATTCCCAGAGGACGGTTTGAAAGACTTGAGAATTAGGTTAGTAGTGAGTAAGAGAGCAGAAATGAGCAGAAATGACCTTACACCTGAGCAAAACAAGTTTTCTGTGAAACTATATGAAATGAGTGTGAGTTAAAGGCCACTGGGAACCCCAGCTGAATCACTCAACCACTCATGCCTGGTACTGATGCCTGAAATCATTTATTAATTAATTTTAATTTTAATAAATAAATTCATCGAGTTGAGATTGTTGTCTCTTGTTTAAAGACAAATATTCCAGAGAGGAAAAAACCCACTAGGGCAATAGCAATCATCAACAGTTCCGTAGGAAGTAGTACATCAGGGTGCCATTTCTGAAGGAGCACTCAGCAGTGAGAGGTGGGAGAGGGAGAGACCACTGGAGACAGGTGCAAAGCACAGAGCAGTGTCTGGAGAAGTCAGGCTTCTGGAAAAAGCAGGATTCACCTGAAGACACTGCGCTTGACAATAAAATGGAGTGAGGGAGTTCCAACAACAAAATGAATGGATTTATAATTTTCTACCTCATTACAAACACAATGAGGAACGCCTCTTCCATCTTTAAGGAGAAACTGAGTTTGTCTCACCTCTTCAAAAAATCTGGGTTGGCAAATCCATACTTAACTTTCTTGTGTCGTGATTGTAGAAATACCACTCTAAAATAGGAAGCCACTCAAAGAAGAGAGTTTAGGTGCAAGACCTTTGAATTCCATTGGCCAAAACAGAAAATACCATCCTAACATTAAACTATTCCACTAAAAGCAGACAATGCCCCTGATACTGCCTTCTGGATACTGTCAGGATAATGTCAACTGAATCACAGTGGTTAGAACTGAAATATGATGCAGTACTCACTCGAAAGACCTTCTCCACTCTTGCAATGCTTTTCCCAAAGATGGTTCCAAGTTGGTCTCCAATTCCAGCCAATAAGAAGCCAAAGAGTGGAATTCCAAAGATGGCATATAAAATACAAAAGATTTTTCCTCCTTCTGTGCTCGGAGCAATATTCCCATATCCTGGTGAGAAATATTAAAAAGAGGGAGAATAGCAGAGAAATTAGCATACCAACCAAGAACTCACAGACTTTTAAAAAAACTTTGCACATTTCCCCCGCTTTTTGAGCTTTAGGGGGTAGAACTTCATTTCAAAGGCAGTATACAAGTCACAGCATTGTTCCATTGCTTCTCTTCCTTCTCACCTTATAAACAGTTTCAAGATTTCTTGGATAATAACACATTTTAGGAAATTCGTGGTCACTCAGAATTTTCATTTTCATTTCCAACAAAAAGTGATACCACCTTTTTCTGAAACACCAAGCATCATGGACATGTCTAGTTTAGAGACACCTGAACACATGGGAAGGAATCACCATTGCATGTTTTAGATTTGACAAGAGTTTTTTTTTTTTCCACAGTCTTACCCGTGGACTCCACCTGGACAGACTGTGGCTGTCTTGAAGGGTGATGGGAACTCCATATTGAAGAGGAAATGTGGTTTAGTACAAATTTACAAAGGACTCATGATTTGTGCACTCCTACCCTGGGAAGCCTGAAAACAGGAAAGAATGGGGAAGGGACGGCTTTGTGCTGCCTCTCCCCACTGCCAGTAAAGTTCAGCCTGTCTGGTCCTTTTTTCTCTTTACTGGCAGCTCCACACCATCTCTCAGTCCTGCCCCTCCTCCCAACCACCTCTTGCATTGAGGGTAACAAGGTGCTAAATGTTTACTGATGGATATTTGAATACAAGAGTATCTTTTTATAGTCAGGTCTACTAACATGTATTTCAAATAGTGCTTTGAAAATGCCAACATCTACACTCTTAACAGTATCACAATTACATAAGTAACTTATCTTTAATGAGTATTGGGCTTACCCTATATGGATGAGGCTAAAGTATTGCTGGAAGAAAAAGGCATTAGCATACTTTATATAGAGATGAAAGTCTAAATTAATATTCACTTTTGTGCCGATTCATATTACAATCTTATGTTAACAAGTATCTAGACAGTAATCTAACCATTCTCCCAAATCTGGGTAACTCATGTGGGGCCTGTTTCTGAATCCACGCAATGAGTGAGTTATTGGGTCCACGCTTACTGGCAGGTTGGGAATTCAACATGATAAAATAATGTTGATGGTTAGTCCATCATTCAGCCACCCACAGGCCGGGAGAACTCATGGTTGCCTTCTGCCTCTGGGAATGAGTCACCTGGCTACTTTCCTTTGCAATCTTCTGTTCTGAATCATTCAAACCTCTTATAACAAATAATGTAAATTACAGCTTCCACTTCTAAAGTGAGTGTTCAGGCTAGCCTTCCTCATCTTGTGTGTCTTTTATTCACCAGGATTTTGATTTAAATATGCAAAAAAAAACCTCTCAGAACTTTTCTTAGGTACTTTTCAGGAACTGGGACAAAATCATTTTTCCAAACATCCCCTACTAGAATGGTTGAGCTGACATTAAGCTAGCCCTATTGAAAAGGAAATAAATGAGCCTCTACAGTTTCACTTTATGCATCTTTATGGTGACTCTTGGAAACATCCAAGTAACTTGTGAAAACACTGAAGACCCCAGCTTAACTGTATCACAACTGCCTAACTTTGGGGCATATAGGTTGTCCAAGTGTCTCAGAAAGAAATATATTGCAGACATAGGCAAAGAAATGGAGGCTTGGAACTGGATGAACAGGCATCTCATTAATCATGACAACTGCTACACCCGCTTCCTCCAGCTTTCAGAGATGACCACCTCCACCTCCTGGGTAAGGCGCTGTGCCTTACCATGGAGCCTCAGGGAGAGGTGAGGAGATGAAAGATCCAGATCCAATTCCACCTCACACTACCTGTTTCTTCTTAGATGCACTTAACCTCTACAAATCCTAGTGGCAGAGGTAATCAAGGAAAATTCAGGGGGGAAAAAAATCAATGAGCTGTAAAGTACTATATCGATGCAAAGTATTATTATTATCATCATCATAATTGATTCCTTGTTTGTTCAGTGTTTTATTGACTAGAACACTAAAATACAATTAAAGCAAAGTTATTGGGTAAGAGCATGAGTGATGCAATATTCAAACAAGGCTTTAAATATATTCACAGCCATCTTTCTTTGGTGACACACTGCGTAGTGGCTAACCATTGTTTAAGAGGCACAGGTTTTTGCTTTTGTTTTGAGATCTAGCGTTTAGGACCTAGGTTGTTTCTAGGTGAAATTCAGAAACTCATATGCCACAAGAACATTTTAGATGAAAGACAATTGCCATTCATACTTAGAAAGCCTCTTAATCTAATCATATGACATGGTAGGTTTGCACTTGGCAAATCTGCAAATATATTGATGTTAGCTATTAAAAGTGTTCAGGATGTCCATGACACCAGTGGGTCCGGGGCTTAGAAGCCTTTTCTGGCACCCTAGGCCAGGTTAGGTCAGATTAGTCCACAGATCACAGCATCCAACAAAGGAAGGGTGACCTGGCACCATTTGGTATCAGGGCAAAAGGTGTTGCAAACCTGAACAACACCAGAGGGCATCACTGTAGTAGATCCTAGAAGACCAATGTCAGGTTTCATTGTGTTCAGCAGATTTTTAACCTGGGAAAAAGTGTCATGCATTGTAGGAGGATTTATTCTAAACCAATTAAAATTGAGAAAGTCTGGGCCACTTCAAGAGGTACATTTTGGAAAATGCTCTCCAGTAGCCGGTATTGCATTCATGAGACATTAGTGTATATTGAAGGAAACTCCCAATTTTCTTGTTTCTTGACACGGCTACGTGAATGATCTGTCTGCTGCATTGAAAAACACGACAGCTACACTGGAAGGCACATTAATGGAATTTATTGTGTTAGCTTGTTAGGAATCCAGGAACTTGGTTTATTGGATAACTATGTTTATTCATCCACATAATATCACATGACTGAGGAATGGTGGCTCCATCTGCCTAATTAAGAATGTTTGATATGTGATAGTTTCTGTTATTTTTTGTGTGTGCTTACATGGGAATCTTTGCGTTTGAGTAAATGGCTCTTAGCCCTTGGATTCTGCTGCCTGGCTTCCATTCACGTGTTTACCTGTTTCCTCATCATCATATACCCAGGGGTTACTCTGGGTCCCCATGCCTCAGGTGAGCAATCACCTTGTCTAAACCAAGAAATCCAGGGCTTGGCCACAGTCGTTAGTTCAAAGATGGACATATGATCTGGATTAGGGGCTTTTGCTGGAGCTTTGAAGGAAATGATCTCTCTTTCTTACTAAAAGTAAGTCTGGAGAAAGACAGGCCTAGGCACTGTCAGTCATTTTTCCCTCCCCGGGTTGTTCTGCCTAAAATTTATGAAACACTAAAGAAGCAGAACGAAAAAAGAGGAGTGGTGAATGAGGTCTCGCTTATATAATTTGAGCTCTGGATGGAGCTACCCATGAAGTGTTAAGAAATAAATGTTACACTAGCCATGGTGGCTCACCTGTAATCCAGCATTTTGGGAGGCTGCGGTGGGTGGATCACAAGGTCAGAAGTTCCAGACCAGCCTGGCCAAGATAGTGAAACCCCGTCTCTACTAAAAATACAAAAATTAGCCGGGAGTGGTGGCAGATGCCTGTAATCCCAGCTACTCGGGAGGCTGAGGCAGAGAATTGCTTGAACCCAGGAGGTGGAGGTTGCAGTGAGCCAAGTTCACACCACTGCACTCCAGCCTGGGTAACAAGAGCGAAACTCCGTCTCAAAGAAAAAAAAAAAAAAGAAAGAAATGTTAAACCTCCTTTTATTTACTGGAGTCAGTATATTTTCTTTGGTTGTATAAGCTTGTGTGCTTTGAGCTTTCTATTGCCTGCAACTGAGAACATCTTAATACACACTTTGGGTCAGAGCTCATGGCAGGCCAGTGAATATTCTCTGACCTCCACAGCTAGGGACTGAGCCTTCTGGCTGTGGCAGTTGCCATCTGCCATCATCTTTGGACCATACACTCTTGATTTAAAGTCTTAGGCAGAGCTCAATGCACATATCCAGCCTAGGAGGCTGTTTCCTCTGTGGTGGGAGGCAGGACACTGTGTCATACCAGTTATGCATAGGAAGGGAATCTTTCCCCAAAATCAGAAGGAAGGTAGATGCTGAACAGGAAACCACTACAAAGCAAACATGCATCAAAATCAGAAATGCAAAGTCCACTTCAGGATCATGGTACAATGCGAACACTAGAGACAGGGTCCTTGTTCTATTCAATTTAGAAAACACAGTTTTCCCTCTCACTCTTTCTCTTAACTGAAAAAGAATGCATTGTAAGTTGAACGTCATTTTGTTGGCTAAATTTTAACTCCAGAGTGGGGCATCTTATAAAGATACAGCTAGAGAATTCCAAAGAAAGTCTTAATACAATGTACGTAAGAATAATGAGATGAAGAAATAATTGTTTTTCCATTGACTTAGTGGTAAAATTCATTCATTGCATGTGATCACAAGGTTTATAAGAAAACTCAGAGCCCAGCAATTCATCCAGCTCTTCCTGAGCAATTTTCCACTAGTTAGGAGTCAGGAAAGAGGAACTGTGAGAGCTAATGAGCTGTGTTTTCATTAATCGTGAAATACACAAATATTGGCCTGTTTCCTTTCGATCTTAAAATTTGCAACATAATATTGCAGACATTTTTGCATATTATGAAGTTCCTTGAAAAACACATTCTTTGATGTTTTCTATTGGATCCATTATTTACACCACGATCACATATTGCTGGAAGCTTAAGCTGTTTCTACTTTTGTAATAGGGTAACACCATGGTGTTACATTGTGAAGTGTGGTCTTCATCTTTGTTTCCTTGGAAAGATTACCAATGGATTGCTCTGTCAAAGCCATGACCTTTTTAAAGGTTTGCCAAATTTCTTTCCAGATAGACTCTCATGAGCAGCTTAAGGTTATGTACTTTTCAGACATAAAAAATGTGTTTATTAGGTAGAATGTGTATAGAGACACCTTGGGAATAACAGAATCTTTTCTGAAAAGCAGCGCTACTCCTTAGTATCAGAGA